GGCTGGCACCGCTTGGGCCTGGGCGCTGGGGAGGCTGCAAGAGCCTGGGTGCTGCGATCAGGGGCAGCACTCTTGCTGTCCTCTCCCAGGGTGGCTTGCGACCACTGTCACCATCCACTCCTTGCATCACAGCTGGGCTGGGTGTAAAGGATGCAACCATCACCTTGCCATTCCTGTGCCCTTGCCACCGTCCGGGCACAGAGGGCAGATGCTCCCCACCAGCGTGGCAATGCCCAGCCAGGCTCTGGCAGGAAGAGCGAAGCCTCAGTTGCGGGTGCCGCGGTCCTGTGCCGGTGCCAGCCGTCGGTGCAGCGTGGGCGTGCTAGAACAAGAGCCCGGCTGTGCCCTGGAGTCACAAGGCTGCCGGCAGCCGGGAGCAGGCTGTGACCCACCCCCGCCGTGCAAGCCGTGGCCTGGGCTCCCAGTCAGCTCGTCGTGGCCATGAGCTGGGGATGCGAGGGCTGGAGGTGTGCGTGAGCGCTTGTGCACACACAGGGGTGTGTGTGAGAGCTGTGAGGAGTAAGGGAGGCTCTGGGGTGTGTGTACAGCAGGACTGGCCCTGAGGAAGCAAGGCTGTGGCTGAGCAGTGCTGGAAGCACTCAGCACCCCCCCGGCGTGCCTGTCTCCATCCAGCACGGCACCAAACTCAGCCAGACGCTGCTGCAGTACAAATGCGATTTATATTTTCAGTCTGCAGTGGGAGAGTTAGAGTTATCTGGGCTGGGCGAGAGGGAGGCAGAGGAGGCAGAGCCCCCAGCTCAGCCCTGCTCTGCCAGCCGTGCTCCTCTGGCCTTCCCAGCTCCGCTCCTGTGCCGGCATCAGGACTTTGCTCCTAGAGTGAACAGGGCCGGGGCATTGCCCTGGTCCTGCTTTCGCCTGGAAATACCAAGGCACCATCCATCCTTCAGCTGCTGCGTGCCTGTGGCGCTCGGTGCCCAGTGGGAAAGATGCCTGCCCCTCCAGGCGCTGGGCGCAGGCCATGCGCCAGCTCCGGGGCTGCCTCCCCCACGACCAGCCTCTGGGCCTCCCTCTCCCCAGCTCGCCCGGCTCCTCCGCTGTCTCACCTGCTCTGGGCTCACTGACAGTGGAGAGGTTTCCCAGACACCTGGGTTCACAGGCTGGCTCTCAGGCAGATCAGCTCCACGGAGAGCGAAGGCAGGAGGGCAGTTGCTCCCGCTCCCAGTGGGACAGAGCCCGCTCAGACTGTTCTCCCTGTGCTCAGCACATCCCGGATGCAGGCTATTTATCGAGGATGAGGAAGAGCAGCACCAGTAGGACGATGGGGAGGAAGATGAGGAGCAGGCTGAGCATCTCGGCCGCCAGCAGCACGGCCAGCAGGACGAGGTAACAGCACCTGCACCGGTGCTCCAGGCGTCCCAACCCGCGGATGAGGCACAGGGGATAGCGCACGCAGGGGAGGCAGCCGAACATGCGGCTCGTGTGGAAGCGCACCTGGAAATGGTGCTCCAGGGCGCCAGCAACGCCCGGACGCCGGGGCGGCAGCGCGGCGGGCCTGGGCGCAGCCTGGGCCGCGGCTGGGGCTGGGC